TGTGTTAACCACATAAAAAATCGATTGAATGAGAACAGGATATAAAATATTCATGTTTGAAGTTATTATTAATCAAATTCAATTGAGTTTTCTTCTAGTTTAAATCAAGTTTAATCTATATTTAGTATTCCTTACAACAAATTACTCTCAATCTATCTTTCTATCGATCTTTTTATAAGGTTATTATCAGTGAGGATGAAATTCGTTATACCGCAAGCTGCAATTAAAAACCAATTTTATGTCGACATTGGCTAGCGGTACAACGAGTCAAGTCTGTACAATGAATGAAAAAGACCAAGAGGAAGCAAATAAAAACACACTTTCCTAACCTTGACTTGGTAACTATCGTCTGGAATAATTCTGAAGAAATTCGGGTACTTTGTAGAATCGCTCAAGGATGCAGCCGTGGTGGACTATCCGACCTGGAGGATTCTGTTTTCTGCGCGAGATCTTCCAATTATGGTTGAGATGACTTCCGCTTCAGAACTGAACTCTGGTCCTAGCAAGCCTTGATCGTAAGGAATGATGAGAATATAAATACTAATATTCTTGTCATAGCTATAATTCTTAATAATAATAATAATAATAATAATAATAATAATAATAATAATAATAATAATAATAATAATAATAATAATAACAATAATAATAATAATAACCCAAAATATATTATAATTATTATTATTATTATTATTATTATTATTATTATTATTATTATTATTATTATTATTATTATTATTATTATTATTATTATTATTATTATTATTATTAGTAGTAGTAGTAGTAGTAGTAGTAGTAGTATAGTAGCAGCCGAGTTTTGCATGGCGCTTGAATCACCAATATGTGACTTTTCTCTGATAGGCATAATTGAAACTAAATTTGACAACGAAATAATATAGGTTGCATAAACACATCCGTGTAGGAAAATTGAGGCTGGGTTTATTACACGTTGCCCTATTTCAGTTTGCTTTATCAAGGCCATCAAAACATTTAAGAATAGGCCCTGGGGTTATAAAACGATATTTGGTTCTTGAGTGATTACCGAATATGTTTCAATCTGTGGGTGAATATATATTTTCATCAACGATATGGAATATATTCATTATTACTGGGAAATAGCACCTTTCATTGTGGTCATGCTTCACTAAGCTATTTATAGTACATGATTATATTTCAATAACAGATGCATCACGGTAGTTAGCTTTCAATCAGTATAGTTTTTCTTGGATTTTGTGTACCTGGACCTCAAAATATTGTTCCACTTTGGATGGATATAAATTATCTAATATTTCCAATATGCCAATGTACTAGTTTCAAGGATATCAATGAATCTTATTTACAAACCAACCATACTCGGTTTATTAATTTGTAAGTTCTGTTTTCCTTAGCGTGCAATAAAATGTCAGCTTTGGTTAAATTAAAGAGACGCAATGTGTTCATTCAATTCAGGCAATATATTTTATAATTAAATAAAGCCGAATTTCGTTAGAAAACCAAGAATAGGTATTGACGCCAACCGCCGACGCCAGAAACGTTACACAGATGAGACACAAAGCTGCATTTATATATGCGTGCATGTGTAATTATTCAGGCACATTCTTTTGTGTGCCGCATAGAAAACAGGCTAGTGCTTAACCCACCTATTTATCAAATCATTTTCTGATAAAGAAGAAGGAACGGTGATGTAATTGCAGAATCACATTATGACAGTTCCAAAAACTTGATAAGTGCAAGACGTTAAATTAGACAACTATACGTTTCATCAGTATTCTTGATTCTTCACCCAATCGTTCTTTTGATATCACTTTGACTTGTTCGACAGACTTGTGATCGACATAATTATCTCCTAATTTTCATTATACCTATTGTGTTCGAAGTTAATAATTAACTTTAAAAAGGAGGGGGGCGTTTGTGTGAGGGAATAGCATTTGAGAATTCTTACCTAAATTGAAGATTACGATAGGATTCTATCAGGATTGATTATCGAGAAGCGGATACCTTTTGTCTATAACGTAAAATAGGAGGAGGTTCAACTGACAGCCAGACCTCTACAGCAATAATCAGAATTCCCTCTATGATTCTTACCCACAATAGTACGACGATTCTGGGTGTTGTTGTCTGCAATTCGACGCATAATATCATATGTGTTCTCGACTGCCTGCTCCAGCAACCCACAAGTTGGGTAGGCAAGGAGTCCTGCCAGTTAATGATAGAGAAAAGGGCAGTACGTTATTTTTGTCGTTATTTTTAAGTAGAAATAACATCTGTCATAATTACAAAAATATAAACCTGTTGCAGTAATTTTTAAACAAAGCACTGGATAATTAACATAACGAGATTAAATGGGTTCTTATAAGGCATAATTTGTTCAAGTAGAAAATTGTATTTATTTTCAGGTATGAAAATATAACATTTTCACAAAACATGAAAGTCACAATTATCACCATGCGTGTAAAACATAATAATAATAAGGTATGTACCACATTATAAAATGACATGTTTTGACATATTCTGTTCAATTGATTACTTTCTGTCCAAATTTTTAAATTTAAGGACGTGAAAATAGTTTATATTTGAAACGCTAGTAATGCAAATTTTGTACTGAAATATTTATCAGTTACAGTTTTCATACTGAAAGATAAAAAGATGTCATTACGATGAAAAATATTGGGTAATTTGATATTTGTTTACTGCGTTATGGTAAGATCATCTTCGTACTTACTAACTTTCTTGTTTCCATACAGGTAAAATTCACTTTTCTATATAAAGAGTTCCGATGCTGGATACCTCTTAAGAGATTTTAAATCAGTGAAGCGTCTAAAATACAGAACGTCTGCGTTATCATCCCCTACGACTTATACAAAAAAAGAAATGACGTTATGATTATTCGCCCATCGTTTATTCCATTATTCCGGGTTAGATGCAGTTATATAGAGCACGTAACCAAAATGGACTCTGAAAATATAGCGATCCAAACTTTGATGATGTTTAACCAACTCATTTTTACGGTTTGAAAGATAGAGACCCCCCTCCAAAAAAAACACTAAGCTTGAGCCTTACCAACATTAATTGGAAAATATCCAGTCTGATTGAGCTTTTTGAACACCCATTTTGTTGCTTCTAGTGCCATTACAGAAGATGTCACGACTTCGCCACATTTACCAGTGGTCGATCTGTATATTTGAAACATTCCCGCCACGGTTAGATCCCCTCCCAGCTCCGCAATCTCTTGGCAGTGCGTAAAATGCAAAAGCAACAATAGCAGTCGGATACACATCTTTTTATGTTGTGCTTCGATTCTGTTCAATTCTGAAATATTTCAAAGTACAAAATTAAGTTTTTTTACCTTAGATCTACGTCACATTTATTGTGGTCGTAAATCTGCTGGCAGCTAGGCAGCGGTTGGCATCAGCTTCCTGTTATTTTTGCCGATCATGCGCTCCATATAAGTTTACTAACAGTCGCGTTTAGCTACTTTTTCCAATGAGATATATGCCTCGTGACAGTTAAGTAAAAGCTTGGAAAAATAGACTCTCATTGATAAGTGTCGCTGATTCTTTTCCTTTCGTTTCTTCTGTGTGAAAAATTGCACCATCAGCACTATCGGAGAGTAAGTCATAAAAGTAAATATATTTAGTATGACGGTGTTGAGAAGACGGTGTCGTTGGAAAAGTGGACAATGTTGGTTCCTAATTATGAACAACGAGACAGTGTCATAGTCTGTAGATTTGTGAGAATGTGCAATTGATAAACCCCGCACAACAAAACCGCCCAACAAAATTTGCAGAAAAAGCAAAATCATTAATTTCATACACATATTTTACGTTGTCTGTCCAAACTATAAGTAAATTTTAAAAAATTGTGCATATATGTTATTGAAGTTTAATTTGCAACGCCGTCTAACTTGCCAACCTATCAGCTATTTTACCAGAGTTATTATCTTAACGAGCGTCACAGTCTTCCTTATACCAGATCCTGCCATGGCGAAGCTCGCATGAAGACTCGCGAGATGTCTGGTTGTACAATACTATGATACAAATTAATCACATTTCTTCACAGAGGGTACATCTGGGTAATGAACCAATTATATGTCTTCACAGACAGATTTTGAATAGCCCTTGTGCGAATGGGGATTTTCAATAAGCAATCAGGAGTCAACACGTTCCGTAGTTATAAACCTACGTGGTCTTTAAAGCCTGGTATAATCTATATAAACTTCTGAAACTTCGAAAACGAGGTCTATAAAATAGCTTGTAGCGTAGTTTTATGCTGTTCTGACCATGAAATTAATTATTTCTCTTTCGCCATTGGTTGGGCATTTAGAGCATTTAGTTCTGATCGAGTGACGTCACTTTTGCGACAAAAGTGTAACCGGGCCTTACGCTCAGTTAAAAAAATGCTGCACAATGGATGTTTGGTGAGAGTCACAGACATAAGCACTTCGCTTATTCCCAAAGAATAATAATTTGCTTTTTAGTAAATAAATAAATAAATAAATAAATAAATAAATAAATAAATAAATAAATAAATAAATAAATAAATAAATAAAGATAACATGTACATGTCGTTTAATTAAGGTTCAAAATAAAGAGCGTTAAAAATTAGTGAATTTTGTCCTTTTCTTCTCTGACAAAAATCCGTTTCCCATCGTATATAGCTTGGGTGATGAAAGCTCACACAGAACAGGCTCATCATTTGATCAGATAGCCACATGTACATCTGATACATTCTTTGTCTAGTTAGTATACGTGTGTATGAGTGTGTATGTGTGTGTATGATTTTGATTTTAATGCAGCGTTAAAATTTTTCTGCCAGATCGCTACGATATCTGAAGTGTTTTATAATAATATATAGCACTAGAGCATCATGTCGAAAACATTTAGCATCATGTCCCAAAAATCATATTATCCTGACACAAGGTTTACCAGTCCAACAGTAACCTCTTATGCTGAGCGTTTAGCGAGAGAGCTGCTAGTACAATTATTTATGTGTGTATAGCATGACTTGGCTGGGGTTCGAACCCGCCACCTTCCTCACCCGAGGCGGAGGCTCTAACAACTAGGCCACCGGATCGGTCAATGCTAGTAAGTACTAGTAAGAAAAGATTAAATCTATTATATGCACAATTTTATGACTTTTGTTTATGATTTGGATAAACCACATAACATGTGTACAAGTAATGTAGGATCTTCACTTCTTCATAAAACATTAAAATAATATTGAGAATAGGATATTCCAATACAAAGGTGAACGAATTGCCTGTCGATAATACTCTTTTTAGTTTACATTTATCTCCATGCACTCATAGTGTATATTGAATTAACGATATAGATTGAGCAAAACAAAGAAAAGCTGCATGACAGTCATCAGTATACAATTTTACTTGAACCTAGTCTTGCTCAACGATACTCTCGATTGACTGATAGATAAACACTTTGTTGTTTAGATGTAAGAATCGTTATTGGACCCAGACCTGTTGTAGGTCGCGAGATCACAAGGCTAACCAGACCATTATTCAGTGTAAGTCCCTTAGAGTTATGCCAGAGACTAGCTGAGGGGACCAAGAAATTTGCTTCCTAATATGGCCCGAATATGAACAAAAATTTAACATTTCAAATAATCTTATTTCACAAAACTCTTTCAATTTTGCCTTCTGAATACATCAATGTTACAACCGCTCTTCCTTCTGAAACACATTTTGTTATTCCTACTACTGCTGCTATTCCTACTGAACCTCAAATTCCTGTTCCCTCTGTTACTATTGCTATTCTTCATGAAACTCATTTAATGCTCCTTATATTACTACTGCTCTTTTGGAGTAATCGCATTTGTTTGCAAGTTCTAAAACTGCTATTGTTGTTAAATTCATTTTCGTTCTCCTTCGTTTGATATTGCCGCTTGAACTAATTTTCATTCTCCTTCTTCAACACATGGTATTCATTCTGAAACTCATTTTCTTACCCTAGTACGGTTATTGCTGCTGGAGCTCATTTTCGTATTCCTTCCATTGCTGCTGTAAGTCATTCCTTGTATTCCTTCTACTTCTACTGACATTACTAAGGAGACTCATTCCCCACTCCTTCCATTGGTCCACTAGTACTGTCATACTGTCTGAAACGCATTTCGTGATGTTTTTACTACTACTTTTTCCAACAGAAACTCATTTGTTTTCTGCTTCTACCACTGTTGCTATTGCGATAGGAACTCTAGTACTACTATTTCAACTACCACTAATATTACTACTCCGCCTGCTATTGCTGCTGAAACTCATTTTTCTATTCCTTCAATTATTATTGTTGTCGCTGAAACTCATTATCCTACTCCTTCCATAGATACTGGTATTCCCTCTGAACCACATTTTTTTACTCGTTCTTCTACTACTGCTATTGCTAGTGAAGCCAATGTTCTAACTTCTTCCACTACTAGTACTATTTCTGATGAAATTCATTTTTGTAAAAAAATATTCTTGTACTACTACTGGTGCTAGAACACATTTTCTTGCTCCTTCTATTACTAGCACTTCTACTATGTCTGCTGCACCTAATTTTCTTAATCTTTCTACAACTACTGCTAATCCTACTGAATTACATGTTCCTACTCATTCTACTGCTACTGCTACTGGTATTGCATCTGCAACTCATTTTCATACTCCTATAAGTACACATTTTACTGATACTGGCATTACATTTACAATTCATTTTCATACACCTTTAAATACTCATCTTACTGATACTGACATTACATTTACAACTCATTTTCATACACCTTTAAATACTCATTTTACTGATACTGGTATTACATTTACAACTCATTTTCATACTCCTATAAGTACATATTTTACTGATACTGGTATTGCATTTACAACTCATTTTCATACACCTTTAAATACTCATTTTACTGATACTGGTATTACATTTACAACTCATTTTCATACTCCTATAAGTACATATTTTACTGATACTGGTATTGCATTTACAACTCATTTTCATACACCTTTCAATACTCATTTTACTGCTACTGGTATTGCATCTGCAACTCATTTACATACACCTATAAGTACATATTTTACTGCTCCTGTTACAACAACTGCTATTCCGTCTAAAACTCATTTCTTTCTGCTCTAGAACTTCGGTCTTCTGCTGATACTTTTTTTCTTACTCCTATTACAGCTGATATTCTTGCCGAAACTCGTTTTCTTACTCCTATTACTACCACTATTGCTGCTGTAACTCATTTTTTGCTCCATCTACTACTTCTACTATTCCTGCTGAAACTCATTTTCCTATTCCTACTGCTAATAATGCTTTTCCTGTTGAAACTCATTTCCAGTTTCTTCTGTCTAATACTGTACTTCCTGCAAACAACCAGTTTCTTTATTCTAATTTTACTATTGTTATTGCTGCTTAAACTCATTATCACACTCCGTCCACTGTTACTGTTATTCCTGTTAAAAATCATTTTCCTGTTCCTTCTTTAACTACCGCGATTCCTCTTGAAACCCATTTTATTATGTCTTCTACTATTTCGTTTTTCCTGTGAATATTAATTTCTCACTGCTTCTGTTACTGCTGCCATTGATGCTGGAACTCGTGTTTGTACTCCATCTACTACGATTACTATTCCAGCTGAAACCCAGTTTTTCATTGTTCTTTAGACTACTACTGCTCTTCCTGCATAAAATAATTCATTTCGGTTTTGCTAATTATGATATTGCTGCTGAAACCCATTTCTCAGATATGGAAAATCGGCGTCTACCTTCATATATTTATGGCATATCTAAATAATGATTAATTTTGAATGTGATACGTAATTAGCTGTGATGAAATAAATAATCGGTAACGGCCAAAGGTCGTGCAGTTAGGAATGTGTGCATTTTTCCGTATTCTAGGATTGGATTACAGGAATCCTTGACCTTTTGGACTTTACTTTCTGAATACTACAATATAAAAACAGCTACTAACGAACTCACAACTAACAGTTAAAAACAAACAAACAGAAATAAATCACCTTACAATGTTTTCTCTTACAGTATATACATATATCTTTCATTTATTACAATCAGCTTATCATCTGACACTGCGTAGTACACGATGTAAAAGCATACTCGAAAAAGACCTTAACCGCAGCAAATCATTTATGTCGCTTGTTTATATCTAAACAACTCTTACGAAAGTCTAGAATCATTTACATTCTAAAGAAAACAAATTTCTTACTAAAGTCAAGAAACATGTTTACTTTCTAAATAAAACTCTTGCGAAAATATAGGTTCCCGTTAAACGTAATCATCATCACAATTAAAACAAAATGATGCAAAGATGAAATAGAAAAAACTCAAATTTTACACACAATTAAACTACAGGGTCGTGACAAAGACAAACCTAAAACAAGTTAAGAATGAAACAATCAAATAGGACAAAGTTCTTGTTTCTCTCTTTATCCGTCACACACACGTTTACATCTGGTCAGCAACCACTTGTGTTACAGCGCAGGTGTTTTCCATCATGTACTCCCTTTCATTTGCAAATCTGCTGTTGTGTCCATGATGCTAGGTACACTTATCGGCAAGCGGATCATATGGAGTTATCGTCTTCTTCTCATGGAGGTACAACGTATGCCATATGAATGGTCACTTTTCCTTCGGTGATGTCAAATTTGTATCTCATCGTCTGAACGTCTTCAATAGCCCTCAAAGTTTGGAAGAAGTTAATTCTGCAGGTGTACCAAATCCGAGCCATTCAAGTAAGCTCAGACTCGTTGTATGTGTGTCTCAAAAAGCGTAGGCAGGTACATGTAATGCAATTACTAAATACTGAACCTTCCAAGCACGAAATGAACTGAATAAAGTATCCGTAACATATGAACTCAGGTCATAATTATTACTTCCGGTTTAATAACCACTAGTGTAGTCTCACTCAGCCTATCTTTAGAGCATGTTTCCTCTCTCATTTTTGTGTTCAAATGACTATTAAATTTATACATTTTTTACTGATTTAAAATCAATTGTTTTTTTAAAAAAATATAAGTACCGTGGTGTGACTGCTTATATGTATTTTGGCGACAGTACACAGTAAATTCACACATCATATAGGATGTCACTCTACCTATATTTTATATTCAAGAAAAATGTCTAGCCGTATGTACTTAAAATAAGCCATATTTTTTTTCTATCATGGATTTGAATATGTATGGCAATACATTTTAATTTAGTACTTTTATAGAGTGCGGTATTGTAGCAACAGCTGATAACGCATTCTAAAGAACCATTCAACCTGATAATTGTTAACCGAAATTCTTAAAAGTACAAGGGAAATGTTCAAAATATCACTTGAATCATTGCACGTAATTTTCGATGCTACATATCCCATATATGCAAATTTCCATCCTTGTTTGCAAGTTTTGGTGCTCAGAATTTCACATTTAATTGATGATATAAAATAGGACAAGACGGAGAAGATATCCAGTAATCAACGATTGAATTTATTAATGAAGGTTATATACATTATTCTGATAATGAACACTTAAGTTACAAAACATTTATAAGTTAGAATAACGCAAGAATTCTTTATTTTAAGAATTTTTAGAAGGTCCATTTTACAAATAAAAGCCTTTCTTCCATGAAGAGTTGTGAATACTGTACACTATGATTTATGAGTCTCGAAATTGGCTTTTTTTTTAGAAATAGCTTCCCATTACCGTCAAAATAAATACTAAAATCTAACAGAATTAGAAACGGAAACATAAATACAAATGCATATTGTTATTGTAATTGTTGTTGTTGTTATTATTATTATAATTATTATTATTATTATTATTATTATTATTATTATTATTATTATTATTATTATTATTATTATTATGATTAGTTGAAGCAGTAGTGGTAGTAGTAGTAGTAGTAGTAGTAGTAGTAGTAGTTGTAGGAGGGGATGATGATGAGGAGGAAAAGGTTATAGTAGTAGGAGAAGCTACAGAAAAAGCTCAATGAAAAAAACATCCTGTTGTATTTAACATCGTACATACCCTCGTACTACCAAACTTCTTCCTTAGAGTCCAAGACGCCTTTCTGCTGTTTATGC